AAGAATGCGGAAGTGTTGTATAATACATCACTTCCGCATTCTTGTGTCACTCTCCAGCTTCAGAAGGCTGGAAAGAAGCTGATGGAGCAGATCTCTGCTTCATCAGCTTCTTTTGGGGGTCCTAGGTGACATTAGGGGTCTTGGAGACCCCTGATGTCTCCATAAAGAGGACCTGTCACATATTTTGCTATCACATAGGGGAGTTTAATTAGTGATAGCAATAAAGTACAGTGGGGAAAAAAAAGGAAAAAAAAAGTTCCCCACCCAAATTTAAAGTTACACATAAAAAAGAATAAAAAAACAAAAAAGTTTTTTAAAGTCCCCATCCATACATACACACATGCAAACACGGATCGGGGGCACAAATACGTACAAAAAAGACGATTGCGCCCATTACGCTGCACATGTTACATATCGCCACGAACGTCGGAGTGAGAGCAATAAGTCTAGGGCCATCAATCACTGATAACACTAAACTGATGAGCGGTAAAAGCTTTTAAAGTGTCGCCTATGGCCAATTTTGGGTATGGTAGTTTTCTGCGATTTCGCGGGTGCGCGCAATTTTAAAGCTTGACATGTTTGGTGTCTATTTACCCGACGTGACCCGATCTTTTATAATTTACCAAAAAACTGGGTAATAATAATTGTTTCCTGACAATGTAAAAAAAAAAAATTCTGTAATTTTTCCTAATTATAATAAAAAATAAAAACCCCAGTGGTGTTTAAATACCACCAAAAGAAAGCTCTATCTGTCCCCAAACAATGGTATAAAATTCATTTCAGTACAGCGTTGCATGACGGAATAAACGTCAGTCAAAGTACCGCAGCGCTGAATACTGAAAAATGGCCTAGCCAGGAAGGGGGTCTAAACACCTGGTCTTGAAGTGGTTAAAGAATGCCCATTCTACTGCTCCATTGTGTTACAAACCTGTAGAATTATAGATTGCCAATTCTGAACTTCCACCTTCTGGATTTAATCCCAACAAGGTAGTAAGATATTCTGCAAGCTCTTCTTCGGTCATATGCTCACCTGTGTGCAACATGAAAATAGATGAAAATTAAAAAACGCCATTACTTACAAGGGAACTGAACTCATCTGTTCTTTCAATATATTCAGGGACATCGGGCAACATTACCCTTTTACCTCTGGTTTTTTTTCTTCAAATAAAGAATCATGCAGCTAATCTATTACAGAGTAAAATAGTAATAAGCCTATAGCCTCAATAGCATATAGAAGACAGATAGGCAGTAACCAATAAGTAGTTAAATAATAGATAGAGGGGTACGCTCCAAAGCACAGAAGAAACTATGGGTCTTCCACCTGTTTATAAAAACAGCAACATATAAGTTTATAAGTTACTCG